CTCCACATTGCGCGGTAACGCTCGATTTTAGCATTACACTTTATGGCTGAACTCAATTAGTTCAACACCAAGCTAGTAGCCACCTTCGCCACCAAATTCTCAAGTTAAAGGTTGTTAAAAAAGACAACACCCGAGTTTATGTGGGTAATCCAAAGAGAAGGCGAATCCTTGAAGAACTACATGAACAGATTCAATGATGCCATACTGGAAATTAGCTCATTTGATGAAGTGGGGGGATAGCTACCGTGATACAAGGTCCCAACCATGATCGGTTTTGAGACAATCTGATCAAGCATACACCAACCACCTTTGATGAGGTTAATGAGAGATGCTGCAAGTTCATCAAAGCCGAGGAGTATGTTTTGTCTAAACCTTCACCCCTTAAAGAAGCCAGAACTCTGGCGTGAAAAGAAGGGCAAAGTAAGAAGAAGTTCAAACCCACCCAGAACTGAGACCTAATTCCAATTCCTAAGCTCGACAAATCCAACGCAAGCACACCACAAGAACAGGCTAAACAGGCTTCATGGACCCCATTTATAATGCCAAGGTCACAAATTTTCATGCAGATAAAAAACAAGATGGAGTTGAGAAGGCCAGTACCCATGTGAAGCCCAGCTGCCATGAGAGACCATAATAAATATTGTGACTTTCATCAAGACCATGGCCACATTACGGAGGAATGCCATAGCCTAAAGTGTGAGCTGGAGGCTTAGCTTGGAAAGGAATGTTGAATGAATACATTTATAATAGAGATCTACAGAAGTTCATCAAACAGCAGGGACAACAAGCTTAGGGGTCTCGAATTGCAAATAAAAGGCAAGGAGTGGGGTACCAACAAACACCACCACCTCTCCCACCCCCATCCAGAATCATTCATATCACAACTAGCAGGCCTAAAGCAGGAGGAACGAGCTTCAAGCAATAGAAGTTGTACGTAAGAGAGGTCAAACACCAAAACCAAGCTCAGAAGAGGAAGATCGATGATGTAGAGTGGAAGAATCAACTTATAACATTCACAATGGTCGACCACGATGGGGTTGTCACGCCACACACTGACCCATTGGTCACTTTAGTTATCATCAATAACTGTGAAGTCTAGTGTGTCCTTATTGACATCAAAAGTGCTCTGAACATAATGTATTATCATTAGTTTAAGAGCCTCGAACTTGACCTTGCTCTTCTGCAGAAGTACGATGGACCCATCTATGGATTCAATAATTAGACAGTTCTTGTGGAAAAGGTGCTACGAATTAATGTGTCCTTTGGCTCAGGTCGGACATATGTAACCCTTTCAATCCGATTCTTGGCTATGTAGATGGCTTCATCTTTCAATATCGTTATTGGAAGACCCACCCTGACCGAGGTTTGAGCTACGTCTCTCAGTCCCACCTCTACATGAAGTTCCCCACACCCATGGGAGTAGTAACCTTGAGGGGCAATCAAGAAGTAGCCAGGCATTGTTATATGACCTCTGTTGCCAGGTCATTAAGAGACAAGGAAGCAGCCTAGCTACCAGAACCAACCCATCTAGTGGTCCTAAGTACATAGCCAACGATAAGTATGGAGTTGCTAGATAACAGACTTGATGATGAACCAAGGGCTACCCTAGTTGAAGAAGTAGAAGAGGTGTAGATTGATGACAATGATCCTACCAAGAAGATGCAGATTGGGATGAGGTTGACCCCTAAGGAAAGAGAAGTTCTCATAAACTTCCTAAAGGCAAACAAGGATGTGTTTGCGTGGACCTCGACTGACATGCCTAGAATTCTAACCTCGATTGTAGTACACAAACTGAGCACCAGTCCTTTGAAGAAACCAATGGCCCAGAAAAGACAATTGTTCAGAGGGGAGAGACTCAAAGCCATCAAAGAAGAAGTGCAAAAACTTTTAAAGCCGGATTTGTGAGGAAGGTAGACTACTGCAAATGGGTCGCCAATCCAGTCCTGGTGAAAAAGTCCATGGCAAGTGAAGGATGTGCATTGATTATACTAATTTCAATGAAGCTTGCCCAAAGATTGCTACCCCATGCCCAGCATAGACAAGCTAGTAGAAGCTGCCTTTGGGAACGAGAGGATGAGTCTTTTAGATGCTTACTTAGGGTACCACTAGGTTCACATAACACCTAAAGATGAGGTGAAGACCTTCTTTTCTGCAGGTGATGAGATCTACTGCTATGTAATGATGCCATTTGGGCTAAGAAATGCAAGGGCCACATATCACAAAATGGTAACAATTGTATTTCGAGCTCAAATTAGCAGAAATCTGGAAGTTTATGTAGATGACATAGTAGTCAAAAGTAGAAAATCACCTAACAGACTTAGCAGAGACATTTGACCATTTAGGGAAGCATAGCATGAGATTGAATCCAGCAAAGTGTGTCTTCGGTGTTGAATCCGACAAATTCCTAGGATTTATAGTTTCTAGGTATGGGGATAGAGATCAATCCTGAAAAGATAAAGGCAATAGAAGAGATGAAGCCGTCGAAGTCAATCAAAGACATACAATGCCTAACTGGACGGGTAACAGCTCTGCATAGGTTCATTTCTAAGTCTGTGGATAAATGCCTACCTTTCTTTAGAGTGTTGAGGTCAGTGGCTCAAAAAGTTGAAGCAAGAAAGCCAAAAAAGTTTGAATGGACTGCAGAATGTCAAATAGCCTTTGATGAGCTTACAACGTATCTTAGTTCGCCACCTTTGCTAACCAAGGTCGAAGAGGGTGAGATTCTTTATCTTTACCTCGGAATATCCGATGCAGCAGTCAGTTCTATTTTAGTAAGAGAAATGAGGAAGCAATAGAGGCCAGTGTACCATGCAAGCAAAGTATTACAAGGAGCCAAATAGAGGTATTCCATAGCAGATGAGGTAGCTCTAGTAGTTGTTACTATACCTAGAAAACTCAGACCATATTTCTAGTCTCCTCCAATTGTTGTGTTGATTGACCAGCCCTTAAGGCAAATTTTATAGAAGCCAGAATGTTTTGGAAGGCTTATTAAGTGGGCAATAAAGCTGGGGGAATTTCATATCATATTCCAGTAAAGATCGGCAATTCGAACTCAAGCATTGGCAGACTTTGTAGTAGAGTGCACTTCTAGCTAGGAGAGCTCAAATTTTGAAGTTGAGCTATGGACCCTTTACGTTGACAGATCCATCTAGCAACAAAGGGTCAGGTGTTGAAGCAGTGTTAATCGGGCCTAAGAATTTTCAGAGTGAACAAGTACTAAAGTTCAACTTCGAGGCAACAAACAATATGGTTGAGTACGAAGTGCTACTCCTTGGACTTCGCTTAGCATCCAAGCTTAAGATCAAGTCCCTGCAGGTCTACAATGACTCCCAGTTGGTGGTCAATCAGGTGAATTTCACATGTGAGGTGATAGATCCCATTTTAGCAAAGTATGTAATTGCAGTTTTGGAGTTAAAGTGCCGTTTTGAGAGATTCCAACTTACAAAAGTCTTATAGAGTAGAAAATGAACAAGTAGACTTCTTGTCGAGGTTGGCTCAGACAACCTCGGTAAGACTAGATCTGTTTACGTCGAAGTCCTTGATGGGTCGACTTTCTAACGAATGAAGGTAATGGAAATCAACTTTAACCTCGAAACTCCTAGTTGGACAGACCCCATCAAAGTCGACCTCTGAGATGGAACTGTCCCAAATGATGAAAAAGAAGAAATGAAGTTGCAAAGAAATGCATCTCGATACATCTTAATTGATGATGTGTTATACAAGAGGTCATACTCACTACCTCTCCTTCGATGTTTGACGCCATATGAAGTCGAGTGTGCCCTTAGATAAGTGCATGAGGGCGTTTGTGGAAGTCACATAGGAGCTTGGACTTTGGCTCACAAGGTGCTCACGCAAGATTATTACTGGTCAAACATGCAATAAGACATAAAGTAGTTCGTGCAGAAGTGCCAAAAATGCTAGTTGTTTGCACATCTTACCCATAAACTAGCTGAAGAACTCACCAACATGGTTGCACCCTAGCCTTTTACTCAGTGGGGTATTGATCTTTTAGGTCCCTTTGTCAAAGGTGTAAGGGGAATGACTCATTTGGTCACCGCTGTTGATTATTTCACCAAGTGGGTAAAAACTCAACCTCTCTTTAGTTTGACTTCAAAGAAGATTAAATATTTTGTGTTCAACTCAATTATCTATAGATATAGAATACCAAACCAAATTGTTGTTGACAATGGCCTTCAGTTCAATTGCACCTCATTTAGAGACTTCTATTCCAATTATGGGATCAACCTAGTCTTCACCTCGGTTTACCACCTTAAGGTGAATGGAATGGTTGAATTAGTCAATAAAGTCATCTTATAAGGGATCAAGCCAAGGTTGGATCAGCTCAAAGCCAAGTGGGTAGAAGAGCTAAACAATGTTTTATGGGCTTACTGAACAACGAGTTGCATAGCTACAAGCGAAATGCCCTACCAGTTGGTTTTTGGCATTGAGGTAATCATTTATGTTGAAAGTGGTGTCCTAAGTCTGAGAGTTAGCTAGTTCAACGTAACTCGAAATGAGTAGCCACCTAGAGAAAATCTTGATTTCTTAGACGAAGTCCATGAAAAAGCTCGACTTCGAACACTTGTATACAAGTAGCAGGTAGCCAGCTTTTACAATAAACGGGTTCGACCTCGAAACTTCAAAATTGGCGACCAAATCCTCAAAAAAGCCAGACTCACAGGGTTTGAGACCCACTTTGGCAAGTTGGCACTGAATTAAGAAGGTCCATACACAGTAGTTGATATCCCACACTCCGATGCCTATATCCTTTAAAACTCCGAAGGCAGAAGGGTACCCAGGTTCTAGAATGCTAACAACCTCAAAATGTTCTACCCTTGACGGTCTAGAAGTTAATTTAATCTCTATGTTAGACATCATCCCCTTGTGTTATTTGATGTCCTAATCAAATTTGAGATGAAATCAGCTTTCTTATTCACGTTGTGAGTTTCATTTTAATCATTCAATTGTCATCAACAAAAGACATCATGAAACCACATGAAAGATGAACTTTGAATTTATTAAATTAAAGTTGTATACAACTATTATTTACAAAAATAAACAAAGTAGAAATCATTCAGATGGCTAATCTGGCTTGTCAGCATCTCCGTTTTCTTCGTCATTTACTGGCACGAATTTGAAGTCGAAGTTTGACGGTAAAACGGTCTGACCTTGGCTATCCCAATCCCATTTGAGTTCAATCTCAGGTTGAAAATCAATAGTTTCACTCGCCCCATTCTCTTTGACCTCTCTCTCCTGATACTCGAAAGTGACTTTCGTCACGTCCACCTCAGGCTATTGCAACTTCACCTTCTTTTGGCAATCAGAGAAGACAATGATTACAGTTGGAAACTGGTACAAGTTGATGATGTTGTTGAAGGTACCAGACTTTAAGAACTCTGCTATGTGCACCTCAGTAGAGTTGTGCACTTGAAGCTCCAGCTCAATCGCTACGTTCCTCACTTTGTCAAGCTCTTTCTCCATTTCGAGCTCATATTTGTAGATTTTCCTCTTCTAATCTGAGTTGTTTAAGTCTTTCTTCAAAGTGGCATTCTCCTCTTTGAGCTTATTCAGCTTGGAAATCAATTTCGCCTTTTCTAGCTCGGCCTCCTTGTATTTCTTGATAAGCTCAGCATTCATTCTCCTTGTTCAGCTTGGTCCTTTCCTTCAGGCTTTCAAAGAGCTCGTTTGACAATGTGTTAATGAGATTTGCAGCCTACACAATAAAATAAAGTTAAAATAACCAACGATGAATAACTTTCGTCTCAAAACTCCAAATGAGAATGACAACCCATACCGCAAGGACGTGACATACCACCCTTACCCCTTGTGGAGGGCCACCTCGTCTTGAGCCCGTTGATGATCCACCTTCATGAAGTAGGTGTTAATGAACCTCTTTGCCATACTTCTCATTCCAGCTTTGTAAAAGCTTGAAGTTGGTAAACGGACATAACCTTTCCCTTTGCCTTGAGGTGCAGCCCATGCTTCTTGAGATGGTGGCTCGCCCTCAATAGGAGGCGGAGGGACGAACTCTGCAATCTCTTCCTTGGGCTATGGTTGTTGTTTTTCTTCTACCCTTCTTTTCTCGGCAGCAACCAGCTCGTCCTCCCCAGTTACCTTCATGAGCTCACCACCCACGTTTGTGGGCTAGGGAACAACCAGAGATCGATCATCAGGATGAAGTGCAAAGCTTCCATCATCTCCCTCCCCCACAGTAGTAACACCCACTGTTATCCTCTTCTTCTTGGGAATTCCAGCTCCACCAGTCGCATCCAAAAAGTTGTTCATCTCACTTACAAAGCAAAGCAAAGCAAAGTTAAAACACTGATAAGAATGCTTCAAAGTACAATAGTTTAATAACACACCTCCACTAACAGAGCTCGGCTAGTAAATCTTAGAGGCATCCAACATCTCTTGACTTGTGTACGCAAAAATGTCTAGTACATCTTTATCCCCCCTTTCCAACACCCTCACATCTTCTAACTCCCCTAGGGTTAGACTGTACTTGTTGGGGTTTACCTCTTTCCCTTTCCACCTATTTAAGTTTTCCACCTCAGCAGCTGTATTGTCCCATCTGGTGTCATCCATAAAAAAGAACTTGTCTTTCCATCCTTTGATGGAAGACGGTCTAGTATTAAACAAACCCCTGTTCTTGTTGTTAGATGACGGTAAAGTAATACCACCCTTTTTCCCTTCCACTTTCAGCCTTCAACATATAAAAATATTTAAAAACATTTGCAGTTGGGAATGGCACCCGTCGAACCTGGTTGTATACTACGAAAGCCATCACCATTCGCACAGCATTCAAGACGAGCTGCGTTAGCCCCAAATTGCACTCCATCAAAACCCACACCAATAACTCTGAAAAGGGGAACTATAGCCCAGCCACCATGTAATGGGCATACACGGGCATTCAGTTGTCCCACGTAGCAAAGCAAGCCCTCTCTTTCCTTCTAGCTGGCCTCAACAGTACATGCCCATGCACCCCATAGTTTTCAACCAAGTATACAAGACTCTCTCTGCTTTTAAGGGACGTCTCATGCTCTATACCTCAGAAACGATCTCATCCTCAAGATCAAAAGACCTTTCCCTCCTATTGTCCCTCTCTAGAATATTCTGAGGTACCCCCAAATCCTCTTCTTCTCGCTCAATCCTCCCCTTAACCCCTTCGATGCTAACTGTCTCTTCAGAAGACATATTCACTATCCTAATGAAATGTAGAAGAACTAGAAAGGCATTTGCAAGTTACTTGATTTCAGTTGAACAGGAGTAAAACAAAAGGCATGAGATTTGAAAGCGTATACAACAATTTTTGCAGCAAAGTAACTAGCCTTTTGGTAAAGTATGGATATATATATAAGTGTAAATACTAAATCCAAGGGCCAAGATTAATTTTATCCAATGGTCATAGTTTTACCCCTCAAACTTGACGTCTGATTTCCTGTTGCATCGCTTCGAATATGACGATTACTTTCTACAGCCCACCCTTTTATAGCCCATATTTATTACTATGCGTCTTTTAATGACAGCTGGCATCCGACACATTAACTACTCCCACAAATTAATAAATGAGCCCATATAGGCCCATAGAAGGCTCCTCCAACTATATTATGTTTGCTTGCTCACAAGCGTTTTACCTCGGCTACGGCCAAACCACATGACTACGAGTAATGCATTTTTACGTCGGTTATGGCCAAAACACATGACCACGCATTATGCATTTTTACCTCGGCTGTGGCCTAAATGTGACCACGTGTCACGCATTTTTACCTCGGCCACAGCCAAACCACATGACTACAAGTCATGCATTTTTACCTCGGCTACGACTAGAACACATGACCACGCATCATGTATTTTTACCTCGGCTATGGCCCAAATGTGACCATATGTCATGCATTTTTTCCTCGGCTACAGCCAAACCACATGACAACGAGTCATGTATTTTTACCTCGGCTACGGCTAAAACACATAACTCGGCTACGACCAGACCACCTGATCGTGTGTCATGCATTTTTACCTTGACTACGGTTAAAACACATGACCATGCGTCATGCATTTTTACCTCGGCTACAGCCCAAATGTGATTACGTGTCATGCATTTTTATCTCGGTTAC